AGCTGTAACACAAGGTATAATACAATGATGTAAATAGTTAAAGAATATGAGCCCATGGAAGTTCAGCTCCAAATCAAGTTGAAAAAACACTGAACATAGGCAATCAAGATGGTCCTAAGATACAATCATACTTGAAAATTCATAGAAACCAAAGAGAACATGAAAATTGGAGGAAACTATAAGTGCAGGGAAAACTCGAGTCATGGTTTAATTTGATGTCTATATGCAAGTTTGATGCCATAGTGAAAGAAGAGAGAGTATGTAGCTACGTGTGAAATTAGAAAGCAGCACAATACAAAGTCTCTTAGAATCTAATCTCAAGATGCAGATAATAACTAACATAATGAAAACTGAAATAGCAGAGTTGGCCGAAAAACACAATGTGCCAGGTCCAGCCACAAGGCAAAGAAAGGGTAGTCCATTACAGCAATGAAATTTCTGGAAAAAGTACAAATATATGGAAACTATGAACGACAATTTTTATGTTACCAGTATTTGACATAGAGAAATGTACAGAAAAACATGCATTTATTGACATTGAATATTAGTATGCCAAACATGACAACTAAAGGAGGTTAGATTAGGGACAGGAACCTTGATTTCAAGTTGACTCAGAAAACACAAATGAGCAAGAGAACAATTTCTATCGAGTTTAAGATTTCAGGAGTCAGGACCTTGAGGTGGTTGAGGGGTTCGTAAATGGAGACAATGAAATGATTGGAGTTGTTGTAAAATGAGAAAGATGTTGCCTATTAAGAATATACCTAGAGACTGAAAATGAGGTGATAGATGACAACTACAAAACCTTTACTAAAACTTTTGGTGTTAGCAAAAGGAGATGATAGGTAGCATATCTTAAAAACTATTTCAGGAAGAAAGAAAGTGGCCTCACAAAAAGATAATAGAGAAATACCAATAAGGAAATAAAGCTCAATTTCTCAGAGGACACGAGGAGAGAGAGAGAGAGAGAGAGAGAGAGAGAGAGAGAGAGAGAGGAAACCTTGGGGCATGTCATCATAAAGTAATGATCCAAACTCGTTATTTTAACATTATTGCAGTATATTCTTGATATAGGTATGCATTAACCCAAAGGCTTAACTACTAGGTCATGATCACATGAACATACCTAAGTCCATTACTTTTCTATTGACTTTAACACTATGTTCTCACATGAATATATGTCATTCTCTTTTAATGTGTTGATAGCACTTAGTCAACCAACATCTATGAATTATAATTCTTTTGTAATCCATAAGTGATAACCTAGACTTTATTGCCAGCAAGGTTGTGAAAAGCGGAGCAAAGCGGTGAGGCACGCATAGTTTTTCGGAGCTTAAGCGGTTCAAAGTGGGTGGTCTGAATCTTATTAAAATTCTAAATACGGTACTTGAGAGTAGGAGAAAATTAGAAATAATGTGAAGGTTGAAATTATACCTACTGCTCGACACTAGTGCTACCAGTACCAAGGGAGCTCAAGAGGAGGCATCGACGCATGGAGAACTTGCTCAAGGTGGAGATGGTTTTGGGGGTCTGGGGTTTTTTGGGTTTCGTGGAGACTGTTTTGCTAGAGGCAAGCTTGTCGAGAAAACTTTAGCGACTAGCGATGAGAGTTTTGACAGAGAAGAAAAGGTGGACAAGGTGGAGAAAAGAAGGCTCCGCCAAAGAAGAGGACCTGTTGGGGTGGACAAGGCGGACAAAGGAGGTGCATGAGGATAGACGGAAGAGGTGGATGAGGTTGGAGGCAGAGAATTTTGGATCAAGGGTTTTGTAGGTTGAGAATTCAGAGGAGAGAATGTTTGCGGAAAAAGTCGCTGTATTCATTGCTGCATTCATTACAACTTTGATCGTTACAATGAAATAAAAAGATAGTCTTTTTATAAGACCGATACACAATGAAAACAAAATAAATGCAACTCCTTTCAAACAAACGCAAGAGCTGTTTGTCATCTCTTGCTTGCGTGGGTCTTTGGCCTGTGACGGGGACGTTGATATCCGTGGACCACCGGGGCAATCAGATCTATTCCGAGAAAATCGGGCAGAGCTTCGTCTATCCGCGGAGGGATATAGAAGCAGAACTTCGTCGATCCGCGTGAGATCTAGAAGCTATAAGCGTATACCTCGGCTAAAGCGAGGTATTAGCTCTTCTTAGTATTAACGCTAAAGGCTAATACTAAGGCTCGGACGGGTGATGAAGGCTCTGATCAAGACCTCTCCTCCTCTTGTTGAAGCACACGGGCACTCTTCACTGCAGCAGGGCTTCGCCAAGCTTTCCAAAAATCCTCCTCTCTCAAGGCACTCAAAGGGGCTATTTATAGGCTTTAGGAGGGGGCAAGGGGGTCTAGAGGACCACCAAGGGGTGCGGACACCCCTTGGTGTAGGGTGTCTCGGCCAAGGCCGAGACACCCTTGGGGTGTCTCGGCCAAGGCCGAGACACCCTTGGGGTGTCTCGGCCAGGCCGAGACACCCTTGGGGTGTCTCGGCCTGTTTTGTTGGTTCCCCTGTATATTCTTCGTCCGGATTCGGATTTGAGTGATTCCGGGTGCGTTGGATGCGCGACGAAGAGTTTGACCCGCTCTGGTGATTGGATTATCTGTAGAGTGGTCGAGGCATGAAGGGCGTTGTCCTTTTTGTGAACAGTGCCGGGTTCCCGATTGGTCCGGGTCTTCGTGATTCCGAAGTCCTATCCGCTCATGTAACTCGTCGATTCACTTCAGTCGTTCGTCGACGTCGATTAGGCTCATGTGGATTGGATGGTGACGTTCATCGTCGCTCGTTAACACTGAACCGGTTGTGGAGAACTATAGGCAATTTTTGATGCCTACAGATACCCCCTCCAAAGTGTTCCTGACTCGTTTCTTTTATAGAAGAGGCTGGAATACTTTGGATGTGATTGATCTGGCCTTCAGTCGGCGTAGTTAGCTTCAACTCTTGACTCTTTCGATTTTCGATCTATTCGATGTTTTGACGGATAGCCGAAGTTCTTCTGGCGCTGCGTTTATCGTCTGGCCGTCGTCGGAGTCTCGAGTCTGCAGCTGATGAATTGAGTTTGGCTCGTGTCATTGATTTGACTTTGAACTACTTCCGCCACATTGTGCTGGCTTAGGGTTTCGGATCCCCGTGTGTTGATTTTTTGACGCAACGCGTTGACCGGCGTTGACCTAGGGTTACGCGTTGACCGGCGTTGACCCTTAGGGTTTGAATCGTCGAACGTTGACTTTTGTCGCAACGCGTTGCTTGGCGTTGACCTGGGGTTACGCGTTGACCGGCGTTGACCCTAGGGTTTACGGATCGCCATTAACACAGTTTATACTCGTACGTTTGCTGGAGTATACACAGTTTAAGCTCTTAAGGTATTGGAGCACGGTGGTCCCAAGTGTCGGGGCTGCAGGACCAACTGTTAAAGCTGATTCATCTGCATGTGTGGATTTTATCCTAAATTTGTTGGGTGCTCGAGTCACGAGACCAACTAGGGGAGTTGATGCGTCAATGACTCGCAGTTATAGAATTTTTGGCAAATCCTCAGCCGTCAACGGATTTGATGAGCCTTTACCGACTACCGTTTGAGTCGGGCTAGCATGCGGATTGTTTAAGTCCGCTCCTATGTGACGTTTAAGCTAAAAGAGTTAACCCTTTTAGTGCTACGATATTGAATACGTAGACTTCGTCTTTCTCACGGGAATAGACTACCCGGCGACGCGTGTTAGGCGTTGACTTTAGGATTTTTGGCTAATCCCCAGCCTTCAACGGATTTGATTAGCCTTTACCGACTACCGTTTGAGTCGGGCTAGTATACGGATTGTTTAAGTCCGCTCCCATGTGACATTTAAGCTAAAAGAGTTAACCCTTTTAGTGCTACGATATTGAATACGTAGACTTCGTCTTTCTCACGGGAATAGACTACCCGGCAACGCGTGTTAGGCGTTGACTTTAGGATTTTTGGCTAATCCCCAGCCTTCAACGGATTTGATTAGCCTTTACCGACTACCGTTTGAGTCGGGCTAGCATGCGGATTGTTTAAGTCCGCTCCTATGTGACGTTTAAGCTAAAAGAGTTAACCCTTTTAGTGCTACGATATTGAATACGTAGACTTCGTCTTTCTCACGGGAATAGACTACCCGGCAACGCGTGTTAGGCGTTGACTTTAGGATTTTTGGCTAATCCCCAGCCTTCAACGGATTTGATTAGCCTTTACCGACTACCGTTTGAGTCGGGCTAGCATGCGGATTGTCTAAATCCGTTCCGCATGTGACGTTGTGCTAAGAGAGTTAACGCTCTTAGTGCTACGATATTGAATACGTAGACTTCGTCTTTCTCACGGGAATAGACTACCCGGCAACGCGTGTTAGGCGTTGACTTCAGGATTTTTGGCTAATCCCCAGCCTTCAACGGATTTGATTAGCCTTTACCGACTACCGTTTGAGTCGGGCTAGCATGCGGATTGTTTAAGTCCGCTCCTATGTGACGTTTAAGCTAAAAGAGTTAACCCTTTTAGTGCTACGATATTGAATACGTAGACTTCGTCTTTCTCACGGGAATAGACTACCCGGCAACGCGTGTTAGGCGTTGACTTCATCCCTGTCTTTTCTGAAAGCAAAGACAGAGGAAAAGTTGCTATGATTTTGAATACATAGACTTCGTCTTTCTCACGGGAATAGACTACCCGGCAACGCGTGTTAGGCGTTGACTTATCCCTACTCAGGCTTCGGGATAAAATTCCCCGTGCATCGAGTGCCCGGATTTGACAATCGTGTCTTTTCTAAAAGCAAAGACAGATTGAGAAACGGGAGAGGAAGAATTTTATATTCTATCTCCCGGTGCTGAAGAGGAAGAATTTTATATTCTATCTACAGCTGGAAAGGGAACTTGAGGTGGGATCCCCCACCCCCAGAATCCGGAATGATGAACTGGGAGTGGGTTCTCCACTCCGAGCATCGGAAAGGTCCGAGGAGAGGAAGAATTTTATATTCTATCTCCCGGTGCTGAAGAGGAAGAATTTTATATTCTATCTACAGCTGGAAAGGAAACTCGAGGTGGGATCTCCACCCCCAGAATCCGGAAGGATGAAACTAAGAGTTCCACAATGATTGGGTTATCCCTAAGAACACCCATGTGGTATTCTTCCGGGAACTTCCCGATGCATTGGATTATCCACCCCCAGCTTCTCTCTTGGAACTAGGTTTGATTTTGTTGTCCGATCGGGTTATCCTTAAGAATATTAGCGTAATATCCTCCAGGAACTTCCCGTCAATGGTAGGAAATAGTTTAGACTCATATACCTATTGGAGTATCAGGGAGCAGTTTAACCTCTTATACCGGTCGGAGGATTAAGAAGCAGTTTATACTCTTATACTTATCGGAGTATCAAGAAGCAGTTTATACTCTTATGAGTCGTAAGAAGCAGTTTATACTCTTATACTTATCGGAGTGTTGAGAAGCAGTTTATACTCATATACTCTGTCGGAGTCGGGCCGTTCTCAATCGGCTTACCCTAGCGTTATAACGCCGGCTTCAACCAAGGTCTGGATGCTATTCTTGAGAGCAAAGCACTCCTTGGTGGGATGGAGGATCCTCCTGTGGTACTCGCAGTATGTTGGATCCGCAGAATCGTCATCTTCCTCCTGATGCGTGATGGGCGGGAGTTTGATTTTGTTGTTTTCGAGAAGGGTCTCGAAGATAGCTGGAACGTCTTCGTCTTTGAACGAGTACTCGTTTTGGAGCTCCTCGTCCGAATTCTCCTGTTGTTCCCAGGACTGTTGTTGTGACGTTTGATTATCGTCAATAACCGTTGCAGGTACGTCCCCTTCATCATGAGGTACGAGATCCGAATCCAGAGGGTTGACCATCAGTTGGCTACTCTCGACCTTCCGCCTTCTGATGAAGCGTTCAGCCTGTTCTCCTCGAGCCTTCAACTCTTTTCAGGTATTGAGCGGCTCTATTCCCATCACGTCCAAGATATTAATGGACAAGTTGTTCTGACAAGTCTGCAAGAGGAATTCCTCCGTGACGGGATCCCTGCAGTTCATTGCCTGATTGCGGAAGCGTTTGATGAAGGTATCCACCGACTCTCCGCCTTTTTGTTTCTCGTCGAAGAGTGTCCTGATCGACACCTCGGTGTCATCATCGAAGAAATGGGCGAGAAACATGCCTTCCAAGTCCTCCCAGCTGTTGATGCTTCCGGGCTTGAGACGGCGGTACCAATCGAAGGCAGGCCCGCGAAGGGTGCCAACGAATGACCGAACCATCAAAGGCTCGTTGCCCGAGATCACCCCCAAGTGGGACTTGAAGTAAATCAGATGCTGAGTGGGCGAGCCCTTCCCGTTGAACGGCGTGAAGTTGATCAAGTTGAATTTTGCCGGATACGGGATCGAATCCCACTCTTTCGGGTAAGGACACGGAATGCCGGTCCTCTTCACCTCCCGAACAGACATCAGGGCTTCGATTTTTCTTTCGAGCTCCTTTATCTTTTTGGCCTCACCCATATCCTGTTTTGGACGATACGGCCACCCCCAGTGTTGTTATCACTGGTGGGTCCACCCCCAGCGTTATCATCACTGGTGGGTCTACCAGCGTGGTTATTTTTAGTGGGGCCACCCCCAGTATTCTTGGGCGATGCGTCGGCCATGACGATTTCGACCACCTTTGGATCACTATCAACTGCGGCGTTCTGGGTGCGACGGTTGGATTCAGCTAGCTGACTTGACAAAGCGCGGATTTGT